TCCTTGCTGTACATCGCCGGGAAAATATTCGCTCGCATCCTTCTCGACCGCCTGAATAATCACCTGGAACAAGGTTTTCCGCCGGAAAGTCAGTGCGGCTTCCTCCGTCATCGTGGGACCACGGACATGATCTTTGCCACCCGCCAACTTCAGGAGAATTGCCGGGAAATGCGGACCCACCTGTACTCTACCTTCGTGGATATGACAAAAGCCTTCGACACCTTTAATCCTGACGGACTGTGGAAAATCATTCAGGAATTTGGCTGTCCCGAACGACTCACTCAGATGGTACGTCAACTCCACGGTGGCATGATGGCACCCATCACGGACAATGGACCTGTCTCAGAAGTATTCGCAATGACCCACGGAGTGAAGCACGGCTGCGTGCTCGCGCCCACCCTCTTCAGTCTTATGTTCTCTGTTATGCTGATGGACGCTTACTGTGACGAACGCCCCGGGATCCGCCTCGTCTACAGGACGGACGGCCAACTCCCCAATCAGCGACGGATTCACCTCCAGTCGCATGTATCCACAACCAAAGTTCACGAACTTCTATTCGCCAACGACTACGCCCTCAACGCCGCCTCGGAAGGGGACATGCAAAGAAGTATGGACCCCTTCACAACCGTCTGGGAGGACTCTGGTCTGATCATCAACATGGAGAAAACGGTTGTCATGCAGCAACTGCAACCCAAAACAGCTCACAATGCGCCGCAAATCAGCGTGAACGGAACCTAATAGCAAGTAGTGGACAACTTCGCGTATCTGGGCAGCACCCAAATCAACGGCGAAGTTTCCTGCCGCATTTCCAAAGCCAGCCAAGCCCTCAGCGGTCTGCAGAGCACCGTCTGGAACCTTCACGGTCTTTATCTCAACAAGAAGCCGAAGATGTAAGAGGCAGTCATCCTGCCAACGCTGCTGTATGGAGCGGAGACCTGGACGGTGTACAAGAAACAGGCGCAAATTCTCAACCACTTCCATCTAATCTGCTTTGGGCGGATGTAAGTACTGAGGTGGCAGGGCCGGATCCCGGACAACAACCTACTGGAGCGTACGGGAATCCCCATCATCTACGACATTCTGAGACAACTGCATTTGCGCTGGAGCGGCCGTCTCGTGCGGACTGTTGATGAACGGCTACCCATTCGATTCTTCTATGGAGGTTCCCGCTTACCAGGAGGTCAAGTCCAGAGTTACAAGTATCACCTGAAAACTACTCTGAACCGACCGCAAATCAACCCGGCCAACTGGGAAGACCTCGCTCGGCACCGACCGACCTGGAGGAGAGCTGTGAAGGCGGACGCTGCAATCTGCGAACCCACTCGCATCACAGTCGCCGAGGCCAAACGCGAAGCTCGCAAATCTCCATTGCCCCCACCTAACAGCGCCAACAATTAACCCTCCTCGACCCGCTTACGGTCTCACCGGACTTCTCCTACGAACTGCAGCACCCGAACTACACCATTCGATGTCTTCCCGTCCGCCTCTGCCTTGCCCTCACATCGACAGTCAACACTGACCACACTCCTGAACCCCACCAATATCCTCCTCTATCAACTCAGCGTCCGCTACGGCGGATCCTGTACCCACCACTACTGCACACAATCTCGTCCCGAGCAACCACCAATCTCACCGCCGTCAGCGCCAGCGATGTGGACTTGGTCCATGCCTGTCCTCATTGTGATTGCACCCTCAACTCACACATTGGCCTGGTCGATCACTTGCGGATCCATTGCACAGAGACTGGCGAAACAGTTACAGGGACACCGACATACACTCGCTGCATCTGCCTAAATTTCCTCCATCGCACCCGCACAGTCACTCACCGCATGAGCATATAAGGCCACATGCGCATTCACACAAACCTGTAGTAGTCAACTGCTGGCCACCGCAACATCCCATCCACTTCCACTTTCACCGTCACCCGCAACACACATCAACATCATCCATCGCAAACGCCGAATTGCCACCCTCAAGCAAGTTGCAAAATGCGTCTCGGCTCCGTCTCCATGCAGCTCCACAGCTGCATGCGTGATCGGAATCCGAAGCTATCAAGGTGCGTCAAGCACCGTCGATTGGTAAGCTGCTGACTGACGCCTCAAATCAGTCCACGCAACATGCTCAGTTTTGTGCGTGTATGTGTGGAGTGGCGGACTGGTGGACTGAGATCCAGGCTAAAACGGCTCCTTTCCGACGTGAATTACGGCACTATCGCGCATGTGAGGTGTACGCCACTCAACCCTGTTGTGTAAAATTCTGGTGCTTGTGTTTGGGGGTAAGGTCATGCATATGGTGAGCGCAGGCGTCGTCACTAGATATGTCAGCCACCGCTCCTATTCCCCGCATCAGTCTACTGACCGACTCGGACAGTGGCTGGGACCTGGGAATGGGAAAAGAGAGTGAATTCGACGACTCAAGGCATTTTCCTCACCCTAAACAATCTGACGCGCTTGAGGCTATGAAGGCGCTCTTAAAGCCGCGGCATAGGAGGATAACAGGATAACTTGAACCTCGCAGCCCGCCCAGTGCGTGTTTGTGTGGAGCGGCCGACTGGTGGTCTAAGAATTAGTTTGCAATATCTCCTTCTTGACGAGGTCTCTATGGCACTCCCACTCCATCTGATCAGAGCCGGGTGCGGACGTGCTCCTAGGAGCGGCTCCGGTCGCGCCAGCCATCTGCGCCCACTCCCACCTCCGGTCTTCTTGGCTCCGTCTTGGCACCGGGTCCAGGTTGGGGAGGAGAAGATAATGCGGTAGGTGCTCCGCAAGTCCTCACTCACTACAAACCCAATCTTGCGCAAGCCACTGTGCCTGCTTCACCTTTCAGCGGGGCACACGGTGGACATCGTCGACAACGACGGTCGAACTATCGCGTGTGTATATAGCGTAGGCGGTTGGGATAGTATGGCAGGCGCATGTCAAGGCTACTGTCACTTGTAAACCGGTCTCGGTGCGACAGATTGGCAAGTGACCGACCCGGCCGATACGCGACTTAAATTTGCGATCGCAAGGGGAAATTATCGGGATTCTAGTATGCATCGCTGGCGGTGAGGCGATGGTGGTGAGTGCAATGAGTTAGGGCTCTGACGGTGTTCTCACCGGTAGTATGTTATGGAGACGTTGTAGTCGTTGTCGTGGGGAATGTGAAGGGGGGGGGTCGCCGAGATTGTAGGGGTCGACGATGTCAACTAAGAGGTCGGGGCATCATGGGTATGATCACGGGGGGCGATGGGGTGGCTTATGTCGTGGACGCGGTAGGAGGCAAGAATGGGGTGATTGCAGAGACAGCAGTTGGAGTTGTCAAGTTGTTGTTGAGCTGCGTCCGGATATGTCTGACGTGGAAGGCTCGTTGGCAGCGTGGGCATCTTCGAAGGAGCTAGGTGTTGGCGTGGTGAGCCATAGGCGCTTGAGACCTGCGATTTTCCCTTCTGGCTTTGGCGCCGTAAATCCGTTTGGTTTCTCAGATTGCTGCTGCAGTCTTCACTGTACTCCAAGGGGTTCTTAATAATACAATTGATTTATTTGCCTCTTTAGGCCGGTCGGATTTGGGCGAGGTCCTCTCACGTCGCCCGACTGACTTTTTGGTCCCTAAGTTAGGCACCCAGGCTGTGTTGTCAGCAAGTACCTTTAGAGGCGCTTCCGTAAAAGTCTCACCCGACTAGGTGATGGTAATCCATCCCCACGAGGTAGCTGCGGCATCGCGGTCGTAGTTCCCTCAGCATGACGTAGATGCTGAGGATTCCGGTTCGTTTGAAGACTTCCGTGTCAAAGATCCTATTCTGTTACCTTAAATTTAGTATTATTTTGAGACAATTGAGGTGGAATTGATTGAGCTTCTTGGTTTGATTGACGTAGACAGTCTGTGTTGCTGCCCCGTATAACAGCGTTGTGGGGACTACCGCCCTGTGCATTTTGAGCTTCTCAAGACCATTCAG